TAGTGCCCACATACCCATGGTGTGGGTGGTAGTGATCACATACCCATGGTGTGGGGTGGTGATCACATACCCATGGTGTGGGTGTAATGCCCACATACCCATGGTGTGGGTGGTAGTGGCCCACATACCCATGTGTGGGTGGTAGTTGCCCACATACCCATGGGGGTGGGTGGTAGTGCCCACATACCCATGGTGTGGGTGGTAGTGATCACATACCCATGGTGTGGGTGGTAGTGCCCACATACCCATGGTGTGGGTGGAGAGCCCACATACCCATGGTGTGGGTGGTAGTGACCACATACCCATGGTGTGGGTGTAGTGCTCACATAACCATGGTGTGGGTGGTAGTGATCACATACCCATGGATGGGGTGGTGATCACATACCCATGGTGTGGGTGGTAGTGCTCGCATAACCATGGTGTGGGTGGTAGTGATCACATACCCATGGTGTGGGTGGTGATCACATACCCATGGTGTGGGTGGTAGTGCGCACATACCCATGGTGTGGGTGGTAGTGCCCACATACCCATGGTGTGGGTGGTAGTGATCACATACCCATGGTGTGGGTGGTAGTGACCACATACCCATGGTGTGGGTGGTAGTGCCCACATATCCATGGTGTGGGTGGTAGTGCCCACATACCCATGGTGTGGGTGGTAGTGCCCACATACCCATGGTGTGGGTGGTAGTGCTCACATAACCATGGTGTGGGTGGTAGTGATCACATACCCATGGTGTGGGTGGTAATGACCACATACCCATGGTGTGGGTGGTGATCACATACCCATGGTGTGGGTGGTAGTGCCCACATACCCATAGTGTGGGTGGTAGTGATCACATACCCATGGTGTGGGTGGTAGTGACCACATACCCATGGTGTGGGTGGTAGTGACCACATACCCATGGTGTGGGTGGTAGTGACCACATACCCATGGTGTGGGTGGTAGTGATCACATACCCATGGTGTGGGTAGTAGTGATCACATACCCATGGTAGTGGGTGGTAGTGATCACATACCCATGGTGTGTGGTGGTAGTGATCACATACCCATGTGTGGGTGGTAGTGATCACATACCCATGGTGTGGGTGGGTAGTGCCCACATACCCATGGTGTTGGTGGTAGTGATCACATACCCATGGTGTGGGTGGTTAGTGAATCACATACCCATGGTGTGGGTGGTAGTGATCACATACCCATGGTGTGGGTGGTAGTGATCACATACCCATGGTGTGGGTGGTAGTGCCCACATACCCATGGTGTGGGTGGTAGTGATAACATACCCATGGTGTGGGTGGTAGTGATCACATACCCATGGTGTGGGTGGTAGTGCCCACATACCCATGGTGTGGGTGGTAGTGATCACATACCCATGGTGTGGGTGGTAGTGATCACATACCCATGGTGTGGGTGGTAGTGCCCACATACCCATGGTGTGGGTGTAGGATCACATACCCATGGTGTGGGGTGGTAGTGATCACATACCCATGGTGTGGGTGGTAGTGCCCACATACCCATGGTGTGGGTGGTAGTGCCCACATACCCATGGTGTGGGTGGTAGTGATCACATACCCATGGTGTGGGTGGTAGTGATCACATACCCATGGTGTGGGTGGTAGTGATCACATACCCATGGTGTGGGTGGTAGTGATCACATACCCATGGTGTGGGTGGTAGTGCCCACATACCCATGGTGTGGGTGGTAGTGATCACATACCCATGGTGTGGGTGGTAGTGCCCACATACCCATGGTGTGGGTGGTAGTGATCACATACCCATGGTGTGGGTGGTAGTGCCCACATACCCATGGTGTGGGTGGTAGTGATCACATACCGCATGGTGTGGGTGGTAGTGATCACATACCCATGGTGTGGTGGTAGTCCCCACATACCCATGGTGTGGGTGGTAGTGATCACATACCCATGGTGTGGGTGGTAGTGCCCACATACCCATGGTGTGGGTGGTAGTAATCACATACCCATGGTGTGGGTGGTAGTGATCACATACCCATGGTGTGGGTGGTAGTGATCACATACCCATGGTGTGGGTGGTAGTGATCACATACCCCATGGTGTGGGTGGTAGTGATCACATACCCATGGTGTGGGTGGTAGTGCCCACATACCCATGGTGGTGGTGGTAGTGCCCACATACCCATGGTGTGGGTGGTAGTGCCCACATAACCCAGTGTGTGGTGGTAGTGCCCACATACCCATGGGTGGGGTGGTAGTGATCACATACCCATGGTGTGGGTGGTAGTGCCCACATACCCATGGTGTGGGTGGTAGTGATCACATACCCATGGTGTGGGTGGTAGTGCCCACATACCCATGGTGTGGGTGGTAGTGATCACATACCCATGGTGTGGGTGGTAGTGCCCACATACCCATGGAGTGGGTGGTAGTGATCACATACCCATGGTGTGGGTGGTAGTGCCACATACCCATGGTGTGGGTGGTAGTGATCACATACCCATGTGTGGGTGGTAGTGCCCACATACCCATGGGTGGGTGGTAGTGATCACATACCCATGGTGTGGGTGGTATTGATCACATACCCAGGTGTGGGTGGTAGTGCCCAATACCCATGGTGTGGGTGGTAGTGATCACATACCCATGGTGTGGGTGGTAGTGCCCACATACCCATGGTGTGGGTGGTAGTGATCACATACCCATGGTGTGGGTGGTAGTGCCCACATACCCATGGTGTGGGTGGTAGTAATCACATACCCATGGTGTGGGTGGTAGTGATCACATACCCATGGTGTGGGTGGTAGTGATCACATACCCATGGTGTGGGTGGTAGTGATCAAATACCCATGGTGTGGGTGGTAGTGATCACATACCCATGGTGTGGGTGGTAGTGCCCACATACCCATGGTGTGGGTGGTAGTGCCCACATACCCATGGTGTGGGTGTAGTGCCCCATACCCATGGTGTGGTGGTAGTGCCCACATACCCATGGTGTGGGTGGTAGTGATCACATACCCATGGTGTGGGTGGTAGTGCCCACATACCCATGGTGTGGGTGGTAGTGATCACATACCCATGGTGTGGGTGGTAGTCCCACATACCCATGGTGTGGTGTGGTAGTGATCACATACCCATGGTGTGGGTGGTAGTGATCACATACCCATGGTGTGGGTGGTATTGACCACATACCCATGGTGTGTGGGGTAGTGATCACATACCCATGGTGTGGGTGGTAGTGCCCACATACCCATGGTGTGGGTGGTAGTGCCCACATACCCATGGTGTGGGTGATCTCTTAGTGGTGAGTAATATTGCAATCTAGAGTCAATAAGAGACTATTCTGGGAAAGTTTCACCAGCCGGTGACTTCATCAGTCCAGTGCAGAGAAAGGTGATATGTGAGTTGTTGTTGTTGTTTGAAGTAATCAGTCCCTCAGCCTGGAACTGATGAACACACTGACTCCAGCCTGAGGGACTGATTATCTCAATTTTCTCATGCTCCAACTTTTCTGCATTGAACCTATTACAGTGGACCCCCGGTTAACGATATTTTTTCACTCCAGAAGTATGTTCAGGTGCCAGTACTGACCGAATTTGTTCCCATAAGGAATATTGTGAAGTAGATTAGTCCATTTCACACCCCCAAACATACACGTACAAACGCACTTACATAAATACACTTACATAATTGGTCGCATTCGGAGGTAATCGTTATGCGGGGGTCCACTGTATAATCAAAATTATGCACTAAACCCGACAGGGTTATAGAACGCTGAGCATTGGACTGAACAAGCCACTGGCTGCCCTGATGTTTCTACAAAGATATGTTGCACAAACATCTTGATTATCAACTTAATGGTTTCTCTAAACTGTGTACAGTGGTACCTCGAATTTCCAACACTTCCCACCTCAAACAATTATGTAAAAGTGATTTTTGTAAGTGCTTTTGTGTATTTTTGTAAGTGCTTTTGTGTATTTTTGTAAGTGCTTTTGTGTATTTTTGTAAGTGCTTTTGTGTATTTTTGTAAGTGCTTTTGTGTATTTTTGTAAGTGCTTTTGTGTATTTTTGTAAGTGCTTTTGTGTATTTTTGTAAGTGCTTTGTTGTATTTTGTAAGTGCTTTTGTGTATTTTCGTAAGTGCTTTTGTGTATTTTTTGTAAGTGCTTTTGTGTATTTTTGTAAGTGCTTTTGTGTATTTTTGTAAGTGCTGTTGTGTATTTTTGTAAGTGCTGTTGTGTATTTTTGTAAGTGCTTTTGTGTATTTTTGTAAGTGCTTTTGTGTATTTTTGTAAGTGCTTTTGTGTATTTTTGTAAGTGCTTTTGTGTATTTTTGTAAGTGCTTTTGTGTATATTTTGTAAGTGCTTTTGTGTATTTTTGTAAGTGCTTTTGTGTATTTTGTAAGTGCTTTTGTGTATTTTTGTAAGTGCTTTTGTGTATTTTTGTAAGTGCTTTTGTGTATTTTTGTAAGTGCTTTTGTGTATTTTTGTAAGTGCTGTTGTGTATTTTTGTAAGTGCTTTTGTGTATTTTTGTAAGTGCTTTTGTGTATTTTTGTAAGTGCTTTTGTGTATTTTTGTAAGTGCTTTTGTGTACAGTGGACCCCCGGTTAACGATATTTTTTCACTCCAGAAGTATGTTCAGGTGCCAGTACTGACCGAATTTGTTCCCATAAGGAATATTGTGAAGTAGATTAGTCCATTTCACACCCCAAACATACACGTACAAACGCACTTACATAAATACACTTACATAATTGGTCGCATTCGGAGGTAATCGTTATGCGGGGGTCCACTGTATTTTTGTAAGTGCTTTTGTGTATTTTTGGGGGTCTGAAATTGGCTAATCTAATTTACATTATTCCTTCTGAGTACAAATTCATTCGGTAATGGCACTGGAACAGCTTTCTGGAAAGAATTAAGTTCGTAACTCGGGGAACCACTGTATTTAAAATCAGATTTAGATTTTTCATTTGTATTTTATTTGAGTCATATTTCTGAAAGTAACATAGCGGTATAAGGAAATGAAAAAACAATTATCATCACAATTTTATTAAGAAGAAAATCTCTTACATTCATTTGCGCCATGAAGCATGTTTTGAAGTGAAGGAAGAGAATGTACGTAATGGGGAAATAACTTACTGCAAGATTAAGACAGAACCTGCACACCCACACATCCACACACACACACCCACACATCCACACACACACACACACACACACACACACACACACACACACACACACACACAATTAAGATCAGAGGCAGTACTGTATTTTCTTGCATATAAGGCACGCTTTTCCCCACCCATATAAAGAGGTCTTGGAAAGTCAGCCTGAGCTTTATATAGTGAAGATCAGGATCAAGGGTAGGCCTCAAGTTAGGCTTTATCAGATGTTTACTAACATTACAACTGCTTGGGAACACTGTGCGCCTTATGTGCTGGAAAATACAGAATTTATAATCTTTCGAAAGGGATATAAATTAACACTGCCTGAACTGGAAAAAGAAATAGAATGATTTGTGAATGTATGGTGGTGCAGCTCTTGGAGGTTCATGGGAATAATGACAACGTAGGTCCAGTGTGTGGAGGACAGGGTATGTTGGTATGTGGAGACAGGGTATATATGTAAGGGATATTTGGACAGGTTATGTAGGTAAGGAATGTGTGAAAGTAAGTACTGTACATGTAAGTTATCTCTCACCTGGGCCAGAGTGTAAGTTACCTCTCACCTGGGCCAGAGTGTAAGTTACCTCTCACCTGGGCCAGAGTGTAAGTTACCTCTCACCTGGGCCAGAGTGTAAGTTACCTCTCACCTGGGCCAGAGTGTAAGTTACCTCTCACCTGGGCCAGAGTGTAAGTTACCTCTCACCTGGGCCAGAGTGTAAGTTACCTCTCACCTGGGCCAGAGTGTAAGTTACCTCTCACCTGGGCCAGAGTGTAAGTTACCTCTCACCTGGGCCAGAGTGTAAGTTACCTCTCACCTGGGCCAGAGTGTAAGTTACCTCTCACCTGGGCCAGAGTGTAAGTTACCTCTCACCTGGGCCAGAGTGTAAGCCACCTCTCACCTGGGCCAGAGTGTAAGTTACCTCTCACCTGGGCCAGAGTGTAAGTTATCTCTCACCTGGACCAGTGTAAGTTATCTCTCACCTGAGTCAGAGTGTAAAGAAATAATAGTCAAAACAGAAAGATAAATTAAAAATATATGAAAATGATATGGTCTTTGATGCAAAGGAAACTAAGTGTTGCTATACAGATATTTAAAGGCATGGTATGGGTTTATGTTCAACTGGGGAGATTATATGATTTGTAACATAGATGAAATGAAAACAACTTGTTCATGGGAATCACCGAGAAACACTATCATCATGTCTTCATATCTGATATACATTCAAAACAGCCTCAATCTAAATTATTCAAGGAAGAACCAACTACAAATTTGTTCGAGACGTGAATAAATGAAAGTCTGGATGGAGATATGAATTGTAGTCCACCGACATTGCTGACTTGGTGTTGCAACCACTCAGCCTGAGGTGGCAGTGCTGGGTTTGCTAAAAGCGTGACTCTCAAAATCGTAATAACACGACTGGAAATAAACCAGGGTTTACGCACAAGCCTGGGGTTTTACGACTCACTTGCCATAAATTCAAACCTAACCTATTCCCTGGTTTATAAGTATAAATTATTGGGTCAAGTCTCCATCCAGTGTTTCATTTATTCAACGGCAGTCGTTAGGTTTTTACCTTGGGGTCGTTAATGACATAGTGAGCAATGCCGTGTATCCGATGAACAAGCCTGACGGTGGTGCTACAGCTTAAGGCCCAACTATTTTCACAATATACATTTTCACAAGTGCCATTTGTCCATCTTAGTAGCACCACATGATACAGTTAATAGGATGATATTCACAATGTTTTACAGTTTCACTGTAGTATATTGGAGAAGAGGACTACAGTGTTGCCTCTCGTCACTCTTCCAATACACTGGCCATATACAAAAGGTACATACATATATCAAAACATTGTCTAGGGTTTTAACAGCATCCAAAGACCTTTTGCACCTCACGTTACTGATACTTGCATGTTATTTGTTGCAACTGGCGTAAGTCAACAGACTGTCATGCTAGACATTTTAACTTGCAATATAACTAGCAAATAAACACAAACATTCCACATCACTGCTATGAGCAGCATTGAGAGGGATGTAACAGTAATCTTCAGCTTAAACCTGCTCGTTACACACAAAAATCAGACCATTAATGGTAGGTTATCACTACAGAGAATGATAGGTCAAAATGACCTACTGCCAATGATAGTAGAGACTGTAGAAGCTTGAACAGGGGTAATATTTCACTCGTATGTTGAATATGTGTCTAATTCATCATCTGGTGCTAATGAATACCACTGATGTGCAACTCATCAGACACAGCAACATCAAGGAATCCCCCAGATGTTGAGCATGCGTCTAATTCATCATCTTGTTGCTATCAAATACCACTGATATGCAACTCATCAGACACAGCAACATCAAGGAATACATGCTGAACATGTGTTTAATTCATCATTAACTCAGTGTAATGTTTCATCACAACTTGATCAAGTTCTAGAGCAAAACATTGTTCACACAAAACTGTTTCTACAAAGTCTCTTCGTTTACAGAAAATGATAATGAAGGTTGTTAACCAAGAATTAAATCATTTCTTTGGAATAAACACATTAGGTGAGCAGAGGATATCCCTGAAATGCTACCTAGTACTGTACCTAATTACCATCACCTGCCATTGTTTCTAATTAGTATATCTTTTATACTTTATCTTTCTGCGTGAGACAATTGCACTCATCAATAATGATTAAAATATGGGCAGCAGTTGGGTATGTTTATTGTTGAAATGTCTGACCTACACAGTAGGCTTGTTAAGTCAAATACAGAGGCAGCAGTGTAGTAGTGAAGATAATGTAATTAGACCATTAACTTTTTTCTCCAAGGGTGATGGACTGATTATACAGTGGACCCCCCCCTTAACGATCACCTCCCAATGCAACCAATTATGTAAGGTTTTATGTAAGTGCATTTGTAACGATTATGTTGAGGGGTTCTGAAATGACTAATCTACTTCCAATATTCCTTATGGAACAAATTGGTTCAGTACTGCATCCTTTAACATACTTCTGGAATTGATAAAATATCGTTAAACGGTGGGTCACTGTATTATTTCATTCCACCTACCACCTGCTGCCTCTGTATTTGCAAATACAAGTCTACGTGTAGTGTGAAATTTCAATAATTAACATACTCCAAGTGACTGATAACAGTGTGTACCCCCTTGATCATCAACATTTTGTAATTTATACCATTATCAATCATTTGACCAATGCTTGACAGTCAACATGAAAACATTACTCCAAATTTCCTTCGCATTGGTAGTTTGCACCAAATATTTGATAAACAAAACTAACTCACAATATGCCTAAACTCCTCCTTTGCAAGGGAAATGGCTACAAGCCTAATTACCTATTCCCCAGATGTTTGTTACCTATGGGTTTGGCATCCCCCCCCCATGAATGTATGCCCCTCACACTTCTCCGTTATATAACACTGCAAAGTCCTGCCGCTCTATCATTAGTGAGACGAAGCATTTTCCTAAGAATATTAAATGCAGGGAGTCAGGGAAACTGGCAGGCTGGACCTGAGTCCTGGAGGTGGGAAGTACAGTGTCTGCACTCTGAAGGATGGGTGTTAATGTACCAGTTTTATAACTGTAGTGTAAGTGCGCTTCTGGCAAGACAGTGATGAAGTGAGTGATGAAAGTTTTTCTTTTTCGGGTCACCCTGCCTTGGTGGGAGACGGCTGATGTGTTAATAATAATAATAATAATAATAATAATAAAAATTAACTGGTAGTGTGTACGCACTATCACAAAGCTTCGTACACATACAATAAAGAACATACACAGCTTTTAAAACTCTCAATCAGTGCAGCCGAGTCTTTGTCAGCTTCCTGACTCCTGCACTCACCTTGGGGGTCACACAACAACCCACCAGGATCTATTAAAGATCAATTTCCTTTTTGAAATTATACATAATATTTAAGATTCAACACTTACTATTTAATGAAGACTCAGGTACTAAATGAAATTTATATAAAAAACATTTGCAAATGATAAAAAAATATAGAGGCAACAATATACAGTGGACCCCCGGTTAACGATATTTTTTCACTCCATAAGTATGTTCAGGTGCCAGTACTGACCGATTTTATTCCCATAAGGAATATTGTGAAGTAGATTATTCCTTTCAGACCCCCAAACATACACGAACAAACGCACTTACATAAATACACTTACATAATTGGACGCATTTGGAGGTAATTGTTATGCGGGGGTCCACTGTACTGTAACACATCAATAACTAGGAATTTTTAAGACTTTGTCATATTTAATTTACATTATGACTTCAGTCATATTTAATTTATATAATAGTGAACATATTTAAACCTATGATTTGAACTATTGCTTTAATTTTAATAGAGTGAACTGCATCAATGGTATGACCAGTCTTGCCGTGAGTCTTCTTCAAATAAAGCAAACTGTTTGTGTTGGTATATGAACAGTTTGTAACTAAAGAAGGTAAGCTGTGCACATGCCAAGTTGTTGTACAAGTTGGTGTGTATTTGTAAAGTTTGTGTGTGTAATTTAGAGTTTAGCTCCAGCTCTTGGGACCCACTATTCAAATTACTAAATGACTTGGCAAGATTAAACCCCATAAATCTGGCTGTGTTCACACGCCAGTTTAGGTCTCTTGGTGTGTGTACAATGTTCTTCTGTGTGTACAATGTTCTTCTGTGTGTACAATGTTCTTCTGACGTGTGTACAATGTTCTTCTGTGTGTGTACAATGTTCTTCTGACGTGTGTACAATGTTCTTCTGACGTGTGTACAATGTTCTTCTGACGTGTGTACAATGTTCTTCTGACGTGTGTACAATGTTCTTCTGTGTGTGTACAATGTTCTTCTGTGTGTGTACAATGTTCTTCTGTGTGTGTACAATGTTCTTCTGTGTGTGTACAATGTTCTTCTGTGTGTGTACAATGTTCTTCTGATGTGTGTACAATGTTGTTCTGTGTGTACAATGTTCTTGTGTTGTGTGTACAATGTTCTTCTGTGTGTACAATGTTCTTGTGTTGTGTGTACAATGTTCTTCTGATGTGTGTACAATGTGTAGGTTAAAATTCTAAGGGCCAAACCAGTACTTTTCAGTGACCAACTGCCCTTAATGGATACCATTATCTGCCCTAAATGGATGCCATTATCTGCCCTAAATGGATACCATTATCTCAAAAGACCAATGGATCATCTGGCAAACTGACCACCAAATGCTGACCTAAACTCTAATAAAAAATAATAAAACACCAAAGTTTTGCCCAAAATTACCATTAGGTCCTTAATAAGTATCAGTAATTTAAAAAAAAATAGAGTAAAATACATACTTTATCCTTAACAGATGTTTAAGAAATGACTAGCCAAAAATGACCAAATGAATGAAGTAAATTGGATATTTAGACAAACTGGTTCAGTATTTTGTTGTACATTTGGAACATCAACTTAAAATCTAATGTTGTTATTGTTACACAAGGAAAGACAGCAAGCAAATGAATGATGTTTTTGTAAAAGTGTTTCTTTTTCATGGTCTTTCACCTTGGTGGAAGAGGGAAGATACAAAAAATACAACGTCCAGCCCCCTGGGGCCGACGTTCAGCTCCCTGGGGCCGACGTTCAGCTCCCTGGGACCAACGTCCAGCTCCCTGGGGCCAACATCCAGCCCCCAGGAACGAATGTCCAGCTCACTGAGACTGGCATCCAGCCTCCAGGAATCAACGTCCAGCTCACTGAGACTGGCATCCAGCCTCCAGGAATCAACGTCCAGCTCACTGAGACTGGCATCCAGCCTCCAGGAATCAACGTCCAGCTCACTGAGACTGGCATCCAGCCTCCAGGAATCAACGTCCAGCTCACTGAGACTGGCATCCAGCTCCCAGGAATCAATGTCCAGCTCACTGAGACTGGCATCCAGCCTCCAGGAATCAACGTCCAGCTCACTGAGACTGGCATCCAGCCTCCAGGAATCAACGTCCAGCTCACTGAGACTGGCATCCAGCCTCCAGGAATCAACGTCCAGCTCACTGAGACTGGCATCCAGCTCCCAGGAATCAATGTCCAGCTCACTGAGACTGGCATCCAGCCTCCAGGAATCAACGTCCAGCTCACTGAGACTGGCATCCAGCTCCCAGGAATCAACGTCCAGCTCACTGAGACTGGCATCCAGCTCCCAGGAATCAACGTCCAGCTCACTGAGACTGGCATCCAGCCTCCAGGAATCAACATCCAGCTCACTGAGACTGGCATCCAGCTCCCAGGAATCAACGTCCAGCTCACTGAGACTGGCTTCCAGCCTCCAGGAATCAACGTCCAGCTCACTGAGACTGGCATCCAGCCCCCAGGAATCAACGTCCAGCTCACTGAGACTGGCATCCAGCTCCCAGAAGCAGACAGGAAGCTCAAATACAATTTTAAAATATCTCCCTGCTAATCAACTTCAAGTTGTTCATCCCCACAACAAACAGTTTATCCTCCCATACATCCCTGACTCAAGATTGTCAGTCAAGTGACTGTTTAGCACAACAATCTTTCTTACTTTTGTTGACGATGATGCAAATATTGTAAGTGGTCAAACTTGGCTCATCAAATTTTTATATCGAGGGTGGACTGCACCAAGAAGTGTGTCAGTGAGATACAAAATAAAGTCTAAGGCATTTTATTGATAGGATGAGAATTAGTAACATCCCTGATGGACCACAAACTTTCAATAAAATGCCATAAACCACATACTGTTTTATTAACATACTGACCAAAATAACACACGTACAGAAATTGGTTTTAGCATAAAAACCAGTCGGCACTAGGAGGAAAAGTTGACCATTATTAAGAGTTGCTTAAAACAATATAAAATTAACGAAAGAAATGAGTTTTTTCCTGTTTACAGAGAGAAACACAGACTCCAACACCATTAACACGCCATCAGACCGTTAACTATCTCCGCTACGATGCGGATTTCATACAACTTCATCGGCTACCTCACTTACACACTTGGCATAAACATTCACAGGAATACATCATAAAGAATAAAACTTGATAAAGAACTTCAATCACGGCTGACTTTAATATGGAACTTTTAATAAAACTTTCAAGATGTACAACTAAATTGTGCATTACAAAATTTAAAGAGGGAAGACATATAGTATATTATATACTTAGAACAGGGAGAGAGATATTCTACACTGACAAATTAGAGATAAATCTTTACATATGGTTTTATTATTACAATCAAAACTACGTGCTAAACCCATAAGGGTCTTTACATGGTTTTGATCCACCCTAAACCACAGTGCCACGCTTCATTTTTTTAATCTAAGTTTAGGTATATTTATCCTTATATTCATAAGTAATCATTTTATACTATGTATATTGTTAATATGGGAACGAGGGGCTAGTAACTCCTGTAAAAATTACTAAACGTAAAAATAAAAACTTTTTACATTTATTTATACAGGAGACGGCCAGTATTTAAAAATATATATTAATAACTTTGAATACGCATATGGTAAGTAAAATATGTATTTATGTTCCATTAATCTTGGTTTATAACTTGTCAAAATGCTATTCATAATCAGGGAGTTTCATGTCTATTAAAGGCATCCAGTTTTGCAAAAACTGCATGGAATAAATATTAACGTCAAGTCAGAGAATGGGTGGGGTTTGAACTCATGGCACAGGTGGGTCTTTAAACGTGCAGGTCAGTGTGCTATGGACCATACTTACCTAACAAGATTCGTTCAGCTAAGTGTATTTCTGTACATTATAGGAATGTTAGCATGGGCTCATCACTGTGACCACAAATGCAGATTTTTAGATGAATTTCCCACCAGCTTGGCTGTGGTGTGCTCTAGCCATGCAGGTGTGGGATGCAGCTGTAAAATCCTGCACTTGTGGTCACA